GAGGAGGAGGAGGTGCGCAGTAGGTGAAGGAGAGTGCAAGGGAGTAGGAAGGAGTGAGTTTCTCACAGAGAAGTCACTGTCGACGATGAAGTCGAACCCGTACAGCTGAAATCCTCCCGGGCGATTGCTGAACCTGAGCCTCGGCCAGACAGCCCGAACGGTGTGTAGGATCTGGCGATTGACCTGCGGCAAGATGTCTCTGTCCAGGTCGACGTCCTGGTGGTGCTTCCGAAGGAAGTCCCTGAAGTCGTCGAAGAACATCTCGTTCTCCTCGAACAGAGACTCGTAGTATTCTGACTGCGCGGCGATGCAGTGGTTGGTCAGGTGCGCAAACGTGTCCTCAAGGTCGTCTGCTACGTACGGGTGCGCGGAAAGCCGCAGGACCCCCTCCCTGTGCACGTACAGACCCAGCTCCACGTCCAGAAGGGCCCAGACTCGCACGTCGAACTTGAACCCGTAGATCAAGAGGGGATTTTCCACGTACTTCTGCACAGCAATCGGCTCTCCCGTGCGGCCATACGTGTCATCGACCCAGTCCAGGGCCGTTGACCCCTGGAGCACCTTTACCCCAGAGCCCTTGCTCCCCTTGCTCGTCTTCGCCACCCACACGTTCTCATAGTCTCCCTCCTCCCTTGCCATCATCTCCTTCAGGAAAGCACTCCGCTGGTCGTCGTATCCTCTCACTGGGGTCCTCCCGCGCACGCTAGAGACTTTGGGAGCGCCTCGCTGGGGGACAACCACGTAGGTGAGCGGCATGAAGGGCTCGACGTGAGAATTCGCCGCGAAGTACTTGCGGAGGAGGAGGGCAAGATCGGCTTTCTGCGTGATGAACTTGGAGCCGAGCAGGTAGTTCACTACCTGCTCGCCTTGCTCGAAGCAAACCAAGTCCCAAGGTATCCCTTTTCCTTGACAGGGGCCAAGGATCACGTTGCAGTGCTTGATCATGGAGAGGTTGGTGCCGAGGCCGTCCTTAGGAGGCGCCAGCTCTTTCCACTCTCTCCTCGCCCATAGCTCGCTTGCTACCGCCTGATAGATAGAGCTGCCGCTGTCTAGACTGACAAAGTTCAACACCCGCTGTTGATCATATGCATTCCCTCGGTCAGACCTGCTGGCCGACATTGTCGCGATGCTTGATTGACTTCCTGTTTGACGTGACAGCTTTTGCTGAGCTCAGAACAGAAACCGCTTGCCTGTTGGCTGCCAAGTCGACCCCTAGTCGATCCCTTTATGCCTGCACCCCAGCCCCAGAAGGCCCAGCCATGGCTGTCGCTTCCCACAGGCACGAGCAAGATCAGGTGGATTTGATGCTCCTCGCTGATCTCACTCCTAGTGCTCCACTCTCTCCTCCTCCTCTCCCTCTCATCTCTCCCGATCCTCTTCCACCTTGTCGCAGGCGGTGTCGTGCATTCGCATCTTTCTGAGGCGGATTGGACTTAACGGTCCAACAGGGTCAAGGTCAGGCGTCAGCTCACCGTCCACGGTCGCCGCGGGCCCCGGGCCCCGCCAGTCCCGAGTCCGACCGGACCGGGCCGGGCGGCCGTGCGACTGTGCCGCAGTGCGGCAGTCACTCTGCCACTCGGACCGCCGTACGGCCGGGCGATCCGGCGGGCCGCCTGCGCCGCCGGTGACCCCCCCGGCGGCGGCCGGGCCCGGGGGGTCGTCACACACGGCACGGTCAGTCCGACAGGGCCGCAGTGAGTTAGTTCCGAGTTCAGTCCCCTGGCCGCGAGTCGTACACCGGCCGCGCTGCCGCGCTCCCGCGGTAGCGTAGCGTAGCAGCTGAACCAGGCCGTACGGTGTTTAGTTCAGTTTAATAAGTTCAATCATACAACGTGAAACCGCTTCAAGTGAAAGATTTAGACGCAAAAACAACACTCCGCTAAATGGCGAGGAGAAAAAAAGCTATAGAGTTTCACGATCAGTGGCAACTTGATCATCGGATAAACCGTTGAACAAGTCCTGATTCAAGCCCGTTAGAAAAGGTGGACAAGATCGTTGGTTCGGAGCGTAGTAGATGCTTGTTCGTTCCATTGATTGAGTGTACGATTCATCATCACAACACTCAGGGCGTATGGAAAATTTATCTGTTCTGCTTCTCCTTCAGAACTTCATACGCCTCCTGTACTTCGCGGAACCGTTCAGAAGCCTTGGCCTGCAGCATGCGTAAGAGGGAGACGACGAGGCGGAGCAAGGATCAGGTCAGGTTCCTCACTTTCTCTGAAGGCTCTTGAAACCGATCCGGGTGCCATTTGTTCACCAAGCTCAGGTATGACTTCCTAATCGCGCCAGCGTCTCCAGCATCGCTCACCTGATACGCTTCCAGGTCACACGGCATAAAACTGCCCCGTCCCTCACCCCAAGCGTCTCGCATGCCTCCCGCACAACAGACATGGACTGAACTCCTCCACTCCCCGCGTATTCGTACTCGTAGTATTGCTCTCTCCACCATTTGGTGCTGCCACGGTTGAAGGAGCTCTTTCGGAAAGAGCCCTCCTCCCACTGTCAAGGATGTCAATTTTACAGCAAGACGAGATCGCATGACAGCAATACAAGAGTTTTTCGATCTTGCCCTCTCTCACTCCTGTACCGATTCCACTCCATCTGAACCCTGAAACGGTCGTGCTCTGACTGCTCCTCCTCGTCTATCCTCCACTCGACCCACCTTCCGTCCTCCTCCCTGAACCAAGGATGTATCAGACATAAACGCGTCATCACCCAATCAAGAAATAGAAAAAAAGCATGAAATGTGTTGCACTCTACCAGTCTAGCCTCCACGAACTCGTTGCATTGCGCTTCATCGCTTTATTCTGCATCGGCTCCTTCGGAGGATCCCTCCCAGCATTGTCTCCCCAGATATTCTGATATGCTCGAGCATGGAGCAGTCCATCAAGTCTGATCCAAGGTCCTTGTGTACACCTCCATGGCTTCAGCTTCGAAGATCCGCCCGCCATGACGGTCGCTGCCCTCCTGCCGCCCCGCGCAACCGCCTGCATTGAAGCTTACGGGGACTGGGAATAGCAATTTATTACTCATCTCTCCGGGCCCGGATCTTCCCGGGCCCGGCCGGCCCGGTGCAGGTTACTCGTCGCAACCGTCGCAACCACAGTGATAAGGTTAAAATGCTGCGAAGAGCTGCAGGACAGGAGGGATGGCGGGAGGGGGTGGAGGGAGGGGGGCATAGAGAGGATAGGGGAATACCTGATGGGTGACATAGTTCTGCTGGTTGCCAAGGGCCATGAGGAATGAATAGCAGAAAGGGAGGGCCCAGATTAGAAAAAAATGACTTCATGATCGGGCAGGGGAGGCGCAAGGAAGAGTAAGAAGCTCTCTTTCACTTGGCCTGGAGGCAAACACATGGTCATCTTTTGAATAGTTCATACGACTGAAGTTAGTCCTCCCTTTACACCTTTCGGATGAAGAGTATTCGAGCGCAAACCATGTCTTGTTGAAGTTTAACTACCGAGCCCCTTGTATCCTAGAGAGATTTGAGCGATCATGCATGAGATTCCCCTGTGAAATTTGAACGTGTGAATCGGAAATTCCTGAATTATTTTTGCGTCTGCAGGCACAGCCTTGTGGAACCAGTGGGAACGAGATGATACCAGAACTTCTTCTGATCGGAGCGGGATATGCCGCTGCCGTCCTCGTGGCTGTGGATGCTTCCATTGTGGGATCCTACTTGGCGGCCCAAAATGATCAGGTGAAGGAGACGGAAATGGAGCAGGTGAGCCAGATTAGTCAGAGCAACTTTCGTAACTTGCGATATTCGAACTATCAATCCAAGTTGGTGACTTCTCCATAGCAGGATGTGAACGTAGAAGACAAAGGAACTTTCGGCAGTCCTGAGTATCCAACCAATCAGAGAACAAACCTCTATTCGCAGCCCGAAACTCGTTACCCTGATCAAGTGGCAATGTTGTAAGCATGTGGTTTGTACGATTTCCCTCCTCGACATCCGTTTGTCACCAGAAATGCTACAGCGACAAAACCGACATGTTCTTGCTCACTTTTCCACGATGAATTTATTGTAATATAAACTTTTGTTTTATGGTATTATCTGATAAAGGATCGGTGATCAAAAAATTTTCCTAGAATGTAAAAAAATATCTTTTTATGACCTCGATGGAAAACGGAAAAATAGATCTATTGTGCCTTCATGGCCTTCTTCGCTTCCCGTGCTGAGATGTAGGACTTCCTGTAGAAATGCCCGAAGAGCATGAGCATCTGAAAGAAATCGTCAGATGTATGGTCATTCGCTTTCACCGCCCATCACCTGGATGTGGTACACGAACTGAGCCCATGCCAGGTGCCTTGGGAGAATGGTCTCAAAAGCAAGCACGAGGCAAGCATGAATAATGCACATGGCGAACTGAAACGAGAACATCACCTCAAATTGCCCGAGGTGAGAGGAAAGAATACCTGGATCAGCTGTGCCTGAGTGATGAACTTCTTGAACGGGTTGGTGTAGCCCATAGAAGTCCAGAAGTAGTGAGAGTACATAATACAGTGGATGATGCTGTTGATCAGGCAACCAAAAGCAGCGGTTCCATTTCCATGCCCAATGTACAACATAGCCCCCCAAATCATGCCAATGCTTGCGTGGTGGTAGACATGCAGAAAGGTGAGTTGCTGCTTCTCCTTGCCCCTCAAGATGATGAAGAGGGTGTCAAAAAAGTCCAAAAATTTCGACATATAGTGAACGAAAACAAAGTACTCCAGCTGCGCAGTGTACTGTTTGTTGATGCCGAAAATGTTGGTCGGAGTCGACAGCGAAACTAATCCCCAAATCATGTACACGTTCAAGATGACCTGTGCTAGGTTATACACCTGCATGGGAAACTTCAAAACAAAAGGCTGCCGTCCTTGCATGAACTTCCGCACGATGACAATCATGAGCAGATAGCCAGAAAGCATGCTGGTCATGCATTCCTTGGAGACGAAAAAATCGTACACCGGGCCCGAGAGGTATTGCAAAGTTGCCATGGTAGTCAGTGGCCTCTCGCTAGAACGGCAAGAGTGAGAGCGTGAGAGGTCTGTGCGAGTATGGACGAGGAGGAGGTCAGGAACGAGTGAAGTAGGGCGAACGGATGTGAAGGCGCACTAGGAACGAAGGGCAGTGGGAATGGAGGAGGATGGGATCAGTCAGCCCTGGGGGGTAGGGGGTATTTTTGAAGGGGTAGTCAGTTGCTATCGATTGATATAAGGGGTGGGTATGTGTTCTTTTCATAATCAACAGCATGTATGGGGTGGGTACTCATTTTTAATACAGGGTGGTGGGTAGCCATTGAAGGGTCATACTCAGGATAGGGTAGTGTTAAAGGCCTAGAGGGTGGGGTAAGAGTGGGGAGGGGGTCCAACAATTTGGATCCTCGGTCTAAAATTGGATTGAGCCTCGTGTGATCCTTCTGAAATTCAGAGAAATGTTTGAAAACAAATAAGGGAATTTGGTCAAATCTCCTAAATCTCCGGCGTCTCCAGGCAGCTCCCCTCGGTCGTGGTCGCATGAGGATCATGAATTTTTCGTTTGGGGCAAAATCTTGAGATGTTCGCAAGAAAAGTTTCAAATTATTGTATAAAATTTTAAATATTAAGATTATATTTCAATACATTCCGATCTTGTTGATCCCCTGTGCAAAATCTTGACCCAAAACGCATGCAAAGCCCTACCCCCGGTACTTCTAGTCCTACTACCCCTATATCTTCCCTCACAAAGTACCCCCTCTGCTTCCAGGCTCCGTCCCGGGGCCTTGACGGCACAACAACCTCAGTCAATGTTGCCTCCGGGCCGGGCCCGACCGGGCCGATCGGACGATGCCCGACCCTTACACGGTGCGCCGGTGCCGGGTCAAAATGGCGGGGTAAGGAATGTTGGGGAGGGAGGAAGGGGAGCGACGAGGGAGACATGCTTGAGTGAAGATAGAGTAGAGCTCTAGCATCGCAGGTTGAATCTCCCTCTCTAGCTCTAGTTCTTGTCAGCAGTATGATGTCTCCTGGTGTTTGTTGTTGATGTCCGCCGTTAGTTTCTGGGATGTACATCACGCCGAACAGCATGTCGGGGAAAAGCCATCTCTCATGACTTTGATTGGGATGATATATGTGTATCAATATACGCAGAGGAATTTCATGCTGAACCGTTTCCTCGTTCTTGCCCTCCAGGTTCCTTCGGCAGAGCGCCTCTGCGTTTGGCGCCAGGTGTCTTCGAGGGCGTTGGAGAAACTTCACATCGACAAGTGACGGGAGTGACGGGGCGAAATATGCAGAACACCGAGAGACGCCGTTGTCACGATGGACAGTGAGCGGTGAACGACCGGATCGTGCGCTTGCTTTCCCACAGTACTGGGATGCTTTCTACAAGAGCAAGGAGAGCGAGGACCCTGGGTCCTTGTACGATTGGTATTCAAACAGTGATGTGCTGCAAGGAGTGCTGTGGAACAAGTTAAGAAGGCTGCAGGTTGCTTGCCTCCCCCTCCCCCCCCCTCCTCATCTCTTCTCTCCCCCTCCCCTCTTCCCTCCCTCGAGAGCATCATCCCATCGGTCATTCACGACAGTGTTTCGCAGGCAGGACACCTTGTCCTTCATGCAGGGTGTGGAACAAGCGCTCTCTCCCTCGCACTTTCCAGCCATTTTAAGGACATACGATTCATTCATGCAGACTTCTCGATGCAGGGGCTAGAGTTGATGAAGCACCGCCATCCAGGTCTCTAGATTGCTTCTTTTCCTCGTCCTCCCCATTCTCCTCCTCCTCCATCAAAACTTTCGAATTTTTCCGCAAGCTCCCTGTTCTTCCTTTTCCTCCGTGTCTCCTCCTCGTCCTCACCTCCCACACAGAGTTGAACTGGATGGCTATGGACGTTCGGCAGCTCCCGTTCGCTGACAGGAGCTTGGCGGCGGTGGTGGAGAAGGGGACGATGGACGCGCTCCTGTGAGCTACGAGGCCAAGCCCTCCTCTCTTGCTAGTTACTTTATGCAAGGCGGAAGGGAGACGACGCGTGGCTGGACATGTGCAAGGAATGCTCCCGCGCGCTCTCTCAGGGTGAGAACCGCCTCATTCTTTCGTTCTACTTCCTCGTTCCATTCCCTCCTGGCTATGACCCTTGAGGATCTTCTTGTCCTCTCTTCTCCCTTCTGCCTTTACTCTCCTCCCTTCCTCCCCCCACCTCCGCCTCCTCCCTCTCATCCACTTCCCACGTCCCCCTCCCCCCCATCCCTCTTTTCTCATCAAGGAAGCATCCTTCGTTTTGTTCATCCTCATGGCTCCCTGCGCGAGTCTCCTCCTTGTGCCACAGCTCCTCCTCTGTGCTCCAGCGGCTGCTCGTCGCTCATGACGTTTTCAGGAGGTATTTTCCTTCAGATTACTGACGAGCCTCCGGAACTTCGACTTCCGCTCCTAGAGCATCTGTGAGTAGAATTGAGGAAGGGAAGTGAGGAAAGGCAGGGAGACGAATGGGAGAGCAGAGGGAAGCAGAGAAGGAAGAGGGCGAGGAGGAGGAGGAGGGAAGGAGGGGGGGGGGAAGAGGAGAGGGAGGACGGGAGGATTGGAAGGTGATGACGCCAGGGATGTCAGGAGGGAGTGGCAAGTGAGTTTCAGCGCAGTGGATGCGAATGACGACGGGTATGAGTATTTCGTATACTCCTGTGAGATGCGATGAGTACTAGTACTGTCTGCCATCGATGATCGGACTTCTGTCTTCCCTCTGTACAATCTTCAACGCTGCATAGTGCAAATGTTCCCTCCATGTTGCGTGATGGAGTGACTCAGCAGACTCTCTCGTCAACAAACCCGCGTCCCTCCTCTACCCGTATCCTTCCGATCAACGGACGCGCCTTACCACCAGGTTTCATTCTCACAAACACATCGAGCGACATGAATGGTACTCTACATCCTCCCGCTACATTCGCCGCCAGCAACCTCCCCACGAGCCCAGCAACTGCTCGCACTTTGCCGGACAAAGTGTGCTGGTCTACTTCGTTTAGTCCGTCCATCCATCTTTCACCCAGCCGTTGAAATCACTGAGCGCTCTCCTCCTCAGTATCAGGACCCACCGCAGCTGATTCCCCTCCCTCCTCAGTTGTTGTCTCCTCTGTAGCACCCTCCTCTCCCTCGGCTCCCTCTGAAGCACCCTCGGCTCCCTCCTCTGTAGCTCCCTCCTCGCCCTCAGCACCCTCTTCGCTCCCCTCAGCTTCAGTGCCTTCCTCGGCAGCAGGAGTGTCCTGCTCGAAGGGGAACCTCTCAGGGGCAGGAGCGTTGATGTCGCTCTCCATGTCCTGCTCACCATAAGCGCTGTCGTAAAATTGAGGAAGAGAATAATCTCACCTGCTCATGCTGAGCCTGATGAATCTCCGCGATCAAAGCGGGATCGATAGCCTGCGCAGAGACATTACGGGTATTCACTCATACAGCGATAGTCTCGATCCACAAGTTTGTTCACTTCGCTCACCTCGCTCTCTGACGCGATCGTGCCGTTAGCGATCATGGCCTCAATCAAAGTTCCTTCAAGAAGGCATGAGATAACAAGGGATCAACGGGTCAGATCAAGCATACCATTCATCTTTCCGATTGCACGAAGGGCCCAGTCTGCGCAACCATGAGCATCGCATCTCCAACACGCCACCGGCTCCGCTCACTTGCACGGCGTTCGATCCGGTCTTCGTTGCCTACTCCCCAGAACGTGTGGTCGAAGAGAGGAGGATGGTTCTCCTCCGGCATGTTCACCTCCTGTATTTAAACATCAGAGCGGCAGCAGGTAGCCGGGTGTGAGGCTGACCAGAGCGACCGCGGACGAGGATTGAGACATCCAGATCATGCTCACTGCCACAACCAACCCCATGGCTGCAGCGCAAGCAGCGATCATGACCTGAGAGCCGTCAGGGATCCTTCTCATGAGGACGCCAAAGGTAAGACTTACAGCTTTCATCTCCGTTGCCGGTCGATGAAGCGAAACAGCTGCAGAGCCAAGATGTCAGAGCGGCGCAGGCAGCGATAGCTGATCTCAGGGAAGTGACATGTACAAGCTCTCAAACAGATTTCAAATCATTTCAACCCCAGTCAGCGGGGATAGCAACAAGAAAAGAAAAGAATGCTTGCATGGCAAAATCGGAGAGACGAAAACAGCGCAACAAATTACAAATCATATGAGGGTTCGAAAAAAATCATGTATTGCATACGATCAAGCGAGGGAGGGCAGGGATGTAGGCAGGCAGGAGAAGGGGGAGGCAAGGACGATGGAAGGGGGGAGGGGAGGGGAGGGCAGGAGGGAGGGGAAGGAAGGAGGGAGGGAGAGGGAGGAGGAGGAGGAGGAGAGGGGAGGAGGGAGGAGGAGAGGGGAGGCAAAGTTTTCTCACGTCGCTCGTTGAGGGAGGATGTGCCATAGTTCACAACCACCATGGCGGCTCTTCGTGCTGAACCGTAACCGTCACCCTTCATATGAAACTGTACATAACGGTCATTTAACGGCGCTGGAGGTAAAATAAAAAAAATCCTTTTCTTTGTGTAAAGCCGGTCATACAAGCAAATGCAGGCGCTGACGATGCGGGCGATGATGGCGCTATGTCGCAGTAGCTTCTCTCAATCGCAGAACATGAGCACTGAAGAACTTCAGATACTCATGGACGATCGGCCGGAGGAAGTTGTCATACTGGACGTCAGAAGGAAAGACGAGGTAACCCACCGCTCAGTTGTATACCTTGCCGCTGACTTTCCTGGGCAAGTTCGATGTATCACACATCAAAGGAGCAATTTGTGCAGGAGAAAACGGCGAACTTATAGATCTTGCTGCTGTCGCAAGCTCTGTGGAGAAAGATGCGCCCAATGGAGGCAAGACAATAGCGTGCTATTGCTCGGTAGGTTATCGAAGTGCCCGGCTGGCCCAGAAGCTTTTGGTGGAGCATGGCTGCAGAAGAGCCTTCAACGTTGAGGGCTCGATCTTCAAGTGATGCTACATGCTTGTATGCTTTGAGAGGTTGTAACATGTCGGAACACAGGTGGGCGAATGAGGGAAGAAGGGTTTTCCGAGGGGAAGTCGAAGTGGTCCCGACCAAAGTGCATCCGTACAATCATGTTTATGGGCAGGTATGCACCCGATCATGGTCGTGTTCAGAGGTTTTTCATTGACAATCAATCTTGCAGTTGTTAAACTCCAAGTTTCGTTATCCTGTTTGAGCGAAATTACGGGAAAGTTAGCTTACAATCGTTTCGTGATTGTTTCTCCATGTATATATTTACAATCCTTCAAGATAAGATGCGGCAATCAAGCCGCATAATGCTATGAACATTCAAAACTTCTCATGTTTTGCTCCGGATGACCTGCTCAGTCAGTCTGGGACCTCAAACTCTGCTTGTAACACAATGCTGCACTGGGTCGCAGGAATCCGAGAATTCCGTTGGTTGAGGAGTGGGCGTCTGCGACCTGTATTCCCTGGGCCTGAGATACGATAGAGCAAGCTCTCCATGACGTAAAGCACTGTCGTCTCTACTGGTGACACATGAGACTGACGGTTGTCGTCCGTAGTAGATTTCATCAAGTCGACAGTCAGATGCTTTTCTTTTTGACGAGATTATCTGTTCGACTCCGGTGTTCACCATGGAGAAGTCCGTTGAGGGCGGGGAATGTTCTTGAGAGACTGGTTGATGTTTCTTCTGCAGTTGAAAGTTGCGTATCTCCAACAGGGAGGTTGCCTTGGGGTCTGGGAGGAAAGCAACAGAATCTACGATGAGTTGTGTTGGGATTCGAAGTCTACAAAACCTGTCTGCGACTCATTTGAGTTGGGCCGGCCTGCGTAGTAAATGATCTGGAGAAGAATTTTATCTTTTCGATGCCTTGGCAGCTCATTTCAGAAACAATATATCACCATGACACTGAATACCTCGCGATATCCAGCGGAGTATGCCCGATTTCGTTTTTCACCGTCGGATCCGCTCCGCATTTCAGGAGCATGAATGCAGATTTATGTTTTCCTGACAAACAAGCCAAGTGCAAGGGTGTCATTCCTGCCTTAGTTTTGCAGTTCATATCGATGCCTTCATGGGAACCGAGTCAGGGTTGTTTCAGATCGCCAAAATCCCCCACCTTGTTCTTTCAACATGGAGATTGTGTTCAAGGATTCAGCTTGTACAGAGCTGAACAGAGCTCTTTCCCCTTCCATGCGGCTGGCAGAATCCATGCCCGTCCCCTTCAGAATCAAGTTCAGTGCTTTCCCACCACTTATATTCATGCCAAAGATCACAAAGTTCGCCACGAGTACATGCCTCAGTCAATGAGGGGTTTCAAGTGACAAAAGCTCACTTCTACCAGACAAAACATGAGTTCAGTCCGCAATCTCTCTATCGTATCCGCGACCTCAAGAATAAAAGCTCCGAGAACTCTCTCACGCAGCAACCCCAACTTTCAAGACAGTAGGTTGCGACTTCTCAAGTGTGGACAAGGCTAAACTGATCAACTCATCGTGTCTGCAGACCATCACACAGTCTTCCACCACAAATTTGCATCTCACATGAGAAACATCGCATCTTCAGCTTACCTTCTCCTTCATTGCGCTACAACATCCCGCCGCTCTCCCCACCTCGTTACCCATTTCGCCGGCACCCTTTACCGACGCAACCACCCTATGGCCCCAGCACCCATCTGTTGTGTCCATCGCCATTTTCCACTGTGAGAGCCAGGGTCCAACCTTGCCCTATTTGCATTAGTGCTTCAATCATAAGATATGATACCTTGTGGTACTGAGATTACATCTCCCGATTTGTGCACTTTTAACGAACTTCGGAACGAGAGCTCACTCTTCGACTCCGTCAGATAACTAAAATCTTTACTCACCCGGAGAGTCGCCGGGCCGCGGCCGACAAGTCTCTTTCACTCAAGTGCTGAAGATTTCCGTTGACACAAAGAAAAACGTCAAACTTGACTAAGGGGACTGGACTGCCATTCAGCGGCTCCTCTTGGAATCTCTGAGAAGGCTGGAGGGGTAGCGATGCCTACGGTAGCAAGGAGTTGGCCTGCCTGCCCGCCTGCCTCTCACGCTGCTCCTGCAGGAGGACATGGGTCAAGAGCTGCTCGTGCGTAAGGACGATGGCGAGCCTGGGATGAAAGTCGTGATCTCTTCGGCGTTCAAGCACCACCCCTTCTGCTCCGCCTACGTCAGGTGCGAGCCTCATTCTTCCTACCGCTTACTGCATCTGTCAGGTTGGGCAGGTCGGGACGTTAGTGAGAAAAAGCTCGTCAGGAGGAGGAGGCTGGTACGCAAGTTTTCCAGGACATGAAGAACAGGTGCTGAAGAGAGAGTTCGCCTATCTATACCATGAGCACTCATGATGTTCAGTTCTTCTCCACCGGAGGCTTCGGCGGCCTCTATCACCTTGCAGTCGCCAAGCAAGGTCAGCTTCTCCGTCGCTCCTCCTCCTATGTCAGTCACCCGCCATTGACAGCAGACGATAGTGGGGGATTGCTCCAGCAGGGCAAAAAGTCTCGGTGAGCTTTGAGCACCGCGAGCTGTCCAACAGCACACTGAAGGAGGAGCAGGGAGCACTCAGGAGACGAGGAGACGTTGTCAGCAAGTACGGGGGGAGGAGGGGCCATAGCATGCTCAGCATCTGTTTCAACAGGAGAGAACCCAGAGCAGGGCTGGGTGGAGGTTGTGGTGGATGACAACTACGGTGACTACCCGGTGACTCGAGGAAGGAAGATGACGGGAATGCAGACAAGATCGTGAGCGAAGAGATGATTCGTGTCGGCCTGCAGCAGCAGGTCAGTTGCTCTCGTCCACCCTCCCCCTTCTTCCTTCCGTGCCTGCCTGCCTGCCTGCCTGCCTCCATCGCTTCTTCCCCCTTCTTTCTTGCCTCCCCCCCCCGTTCCCTTCCTCCTTCCCTCCCTCCTTCCCTGCTCTAAAATTGATCGGATATCCTCGAAGCTCGAGCTCGACCTCTCCTTGTCTCTACGGGTGATGCCGGGTACATGACCTGCTGTGCTGATCCAACGTGTGACGGAGGAGAGAAGGGACGGTGAGGATCGCTCAGCCTCGCCGCGGGCATGGAAGCTTCCAGGACAAGACAATCTTCAAGGTGGTGGCGATGATGATGATGATGATGGTGGTGGTGGTGGTGGTGGTGGTGGTGGTGATGATGATGATGATGATGAGACAGAGGAGGAGGAGGAGGAAGACAGGAGGAGGAGGAAGACAGGAGGGGGTGGGGTGGGGCAACGGAGGACAGGAGCGGGAGACACTTCACCTGACGTTGGACAATTGAAGGTCCGGATTGACTCTCGGAAGAACTCGCAAGACGCAAGGAACGGTTATGAGATGCAGATGGAGCTGTTCGATCTGGTAAACGTCCTCGTTGAGGCTGCGAGCAATCCTGCTGAGTTTGCGGCAGCTCAAGGACCCCAGCAGCTCCTTGTACAAGAGGAACTCGTTCGATGGCAAGCGAATCCTTGATGGATGGTTGATCTCTCCAACTTCTGCTGAGAAGGTTTGCCGATGCTTTGACAGTCAGTCAGTCAGTCAGTCCGTCAGTCAGTCAGTCAGTCAGTCAGTCAGTCAGTCAGTCAGTCAGTCAGCTGTCCCGTGTTGCCCTGTCAGTCAGCCCGTCTCTCTGAATGTTTTGACTTTCTTTCAGTCTTTTCTCACATTTCTCTCTTTCCAGCAAGAGTTCGAAGCTCAGCTTTCACCTTCAGTCGGCTTGAAAGGAGAGCAGAAGAGAGAAAATCGCATCCAGGAACGAGAGAAGGAGCGAGCGGCTGAGCTCTATAGAGGAGAGGAGCAGAAGATGGAGAGGCATGCAGGGCGGGCACTGGAAGAAGCAAGCATGCGGCCCGTGGTCAGCCATCAGAGTGAGCGAGTTAAGTTTGACGCTCCTCCATCCTCAGTGACTGCCCTGTCAGGGGAAGCGAGTTGGGAGGGTTTCAGCAGCCTCAAGGTTTCTGACGAGGTGAAGAGGCTTCGTGGGACGGGGGAGGGACGAGGGGGCGCGAACTGCTGCTGATGCATTCATCGGCACAGAGATCTGATCGTCCTACCTCAAGCCCGTCCTCGAATCTGAAACGAAGTCTGCTGGAGAGGAACTACAACTTCCTTGACGTGAGACCGTGGGCCTCTTCCTCTTCTTGCCTTGCCCTCTCTCCTCCTTCCTCCTCCTGCCTCCTCCTTCCTCCTGCCTCCTCCTCCTCACCTGTCTTGCCGCCCGCAGGCCAGGGCGCAGGCTGAGTACGAGATCCGGCAGAACCGACTGGTGGAAGCAGATCTCAACGACGCCAGATGTGATGACGTATCAAGGTGTTCTGACTGCTGAGGCGCTTGCAGCACGAATCAGCTTCCTAGAGAGAGAGCTAGAGACATCTCTTGCAGGTATGTGCTCTCACTCTCCTCCTCTGCTCTGCCTCCTCCTCCGCTCTGCTTCCTTGTTCCTTTGACCTCCTCCTTCCCTCTGCACCGTCCTCCCTTCTGCCTCCTCTTTAGCTGACTCTCATTCTTCCCTCTTCCTCCTCCACTCCTCTGTCGCCTGTGGCTGATTCCTTGACAGGAAATTCCCGGCTCGAGCATCGTCTGCGGGACATGGAGGTGGAGGGGAGGCAGCGAGTTGAAGGATGTGACGATAGTGGCAGGAGGAGCTGCTGAAGATGAAGACTGAGAACGCGAGGTTGAAGGTGGCCAACGAGTTCAAGGAAGTGAGTTGTTGTCATGGTATGATGACGGCTCTGAGGTCTGCGCAGAAAGAACTTGACATGATCCAGAAGAAGCAATCAGAGGAAGTCAGTCAGTGTGTTGCTTGCCTCTTGTTCATGTTGTCGAAGTTGTCAAACGAGAGTCCATGAGAGTGATGTCCGTTTGTTGTGAATGTTGTCATGTGACCCAGCGATGTCTTGTGTGTTGCCGACTGAAGTTTCAGTCGATCAATCACAAGACAATGATCAAATTGCAGGTGACAAGATTTGAAGAGACAAGCAGGGGACAAGCAGAGGTGAAGCCTTGCAGCGATGATGAAGAAGCAGAGGATCTCCTCTACTTCTTCTTCGCCTCCGCCTTCGCCTCTGCCTCTGCCTCTGCTCCCTCTCCCTCTCCCTCTCCCTCTCCCTCTCCCTCTCCCTCTCCCTCTCCCTCTCCCTCTCCCTCTCCCTCTCCCTCTCCCTCTCCCTCTCCCTCTCCCTCTCCCTCTCCCTCTCCCTCTCCCTCTCCCTCTTTTTCTGCTTCTCTCAGATTCTTGAGTTTTTCTGATCTCGATGCTACAGTTGAAAGATGTCGCTGCAAGGGCGCAGAAACAGATTGTCGAGTTGGGAACTTTAGTACATTCTCTCAAGGTGAGACAAACTCAGAAAAAAGAATTGGTTCAGACACAGTTTGCGTTGCATACAAACATATGTAACAAACACAACATGTAAGCCATGAAAACCAGTAAGTGTGGCATCAAGACAACATCTGAATGTTTCAATCATTATCATAGTCTCATCAAATGTTCATCATGACATACCAGCAGACAATCTTTCCTTGTTCACCCTGACTTGAACACCTCAGACTCAGTTGAATCAGTCTCAGTCAGATCAGCGAGACGCGCAGGAGAGGTGGGAACCACCAGTCTGCTCCCTCCATCCGCTGCCTGTCCCCTTGAACCCGCTGATGACGGAGGGCGAGCAGGTTACAGGGAGCGCAGGAGGAGCTGAAGAAGCTGCGGTCAGAGAAGCAACTTGATCACGCTACCATCGGCGATCTGCGCACGTGCGTCCTGTCGATGCTGATCCTGCCGCCTTGACTAGTTCGCCACGAGACAGGAAGCTGCAGGGGAGTGAAGAAACTTTGAGGATGCGAAGTCAAACGTTTGAAGAGAAGGTCTTGTTGCCTTCTCCTCTTCCTCCTCTTCCTCTTCCTCTTCCCCTCCCTTCTCCTCCTCTTCCTCTTCCTCTTCCTCTTCCCCTCCCTTCTCCTCCTCTTCCTCTTCCTCTTCCTCTTCCTCTTCCTCTTCCTCTCCCTTCTCTTCCTCCTCTTCTCCTTCTTTGTGCTACACCACCACCACCTCCTCCTCCTCCACATCATATTCATTATCTCTCGCCTCCTCATCTTTTCCCTCTTCTTCTGCTCAAATGTTTTTCTCACTTCATATTCGTCTTTACATGTTTCGCTCCCCTTGTTGGTCTGTTTGTACGACAACCATGATAGCTGGAGCATCTTGAAGCAAGCTTGCAATCTGCCGTGGAGAGAGAAGAAGAGCTGAGAAAGTACAACGAGGTGAGGGCGAAGAACAGAAGGAGGACAAACACGAGGAGGAAGAGGAGGAGGAGGAGGAGGAAGAGGAGGAGGAGGAGATTTGGGGAGCGGGTGGAGTGGAAGGACGAGGACGAGGACGAGGACGAGGAGGAGAAGGAGGTGGAGGAGATTTGGGAGCGGGTGGAGTGGAAGGACGACGAGGAGGAGACAGACTGACGTCCGAGCAGGAACTCTCCTCGCTCCTCCTCAAGGCCCAGGAGCAGATGGACCAGGACGAGCTCGGTCTCCCCCGTCGCCTTCCCCCCATGATCTGACGTGAGGAGCGCAGAGCTGCGGGGGCTGCACGAGGAGCTCAGGAGAAGAAGCGTCGAAGTTTCATCCATGCAGGCATGAGAGGTTCTTGTGCTCTGCTCTCCCTGCTGAATCGAGACCAGGAGGATGCTGCTTCTCGTCAGCGTCAGGGCGAGCAACTTGCTCTCAAGGTGCAGTAACCAAGCTCTGCTCCCTTCTGCTCCTGCTCCTGCTCCTGCTCCTGCTCTTGCTTCTGCTGCTCTTGCTCCTGCTCCTGCTCCTGCTCCTGCTCCTGCTCCTGCTCCTGCTCCTGCTCCTGCTCCTGCTCCTGCTCCTGCTTTCCTCACATTCTGTCCTCTCCCTCCCTCACGATCTGCTCGCCAGCTCACGGAGCTCGAGACGAGGAATCGCCTGTTGGAAGCAAACTTGACAGAGAGGGACGAGAAGTTTGCGATGATGGAGAAGGGTACACGAACTTGAACTCACTTCAACCCTCCTCTCACTTCTCAACAACAGAAAACAAAAATCTTCGTTCATCCCTTGCACAGCTACATGTAATCGTCACCCCAGCATGTGCAGACATATGGGTGACATCGAGACATGGCAGGAGGAGCAGCAGAAGGAGCAGGAGAGGGTGAAGGAGCTCGAGGCTGATATCTTGGTGGTTACGACGAGAGAGAAGGAGATTATGCAGCAGCTTCACAAGAACAAGGAGGTGAAGAGAGAGAGAGAGGGAGAGGGAGGGACGGAGGGAGAAGATTGTAGCTGCAAGTCACGTTTGTGTTGTTGTAAGGAGATGATGATGATGGTGATGGTGATGGTGATGATGATGATGATGGTGATGGTGATGGTGATGATGATGATGGTGATGGTGATGATGGTGGTGGTGGTGGTGATGGTGATGGTGATGATGGTGATGGTGATGATGGTGGTGGTGGTGGTGGTGGTGATGGTGATGGTGATGGTGATGATGGGGGT